ACCGCGACCGGTGCGGATCCGCCGTCGTGGTCCGCGTCGCCGCGGGGCCGGGATCTAATCGTAGACAAAACGAGATATCGGATTTCGAGAGGGATACTTACCGACGTACCGCGGACACGCGTGCAATTACCCGCCAGCTCCAGCCGTGATTTATCGCCCGCACGTTTCCGCTAAAGCAAACAGGGCGTGCACGCGCGCCCGAACGGGCGTGCACGCCCGAGTTACAAAACTCATTAGCATACGTAATGGACGCGGGATTGTGCGCAAAAATAGGGCCGGAGTCGAGGGAAAATTCCAATAAAAATCCCGGCTGGATCAATTTGCGGGTACCCGGGTATGCGTAAATCGCGCCCAACACTGCCCGGCCCTCCCGTTACTCCGGGGCACGTTTTATCCATCCGATCGCGCCACGAGCGTTTTCGGATCGCGCCCGTGTCCCAGTGACTCGTAACTCGATTCCCCGGCGAAAAATAACGGGTTAACGCGCGCCGTAACAGCGCAGGGGAGATCGCGATCGAAAATAATCGCCGATAATGAGCTTCCACCGCGTTAATAAGGAACGGAAGAGGCGTCGTCGCGACGTCGTCGTCTCGTCGGCGAGACTCTCGCGGCCCCCTCTGCGATCGTCGGGCGATTATTACGAGTCGATTAATCGCAAACTATTAATACGCGCGCGCATCCTTACGGTCGTCTCGCGGGGCTATCTTTGCGATAATTATATTTTATTCTGTTTTTCAACGTCCAAATTCAATAACCTTTTTCTGCAACGTTTACACGGTCCAACAATGAATGAAAATAATAGAAATGCTCTGGTGCGATCACGCTGGATCTTAGTCAAATATTTTTTCGCGTACAGTGATTATAATAAAAAATAACTTTGTCATGGATAATATAATGTCGTGTTGCGTACAATGAATGATTAATAATATAATCACGAAACTGTATTTTCCGAGTCTCTCCGAGAGTTTAATGTGCCGTGGGAAGAGCGTCATTGTTGTTTTAATGTTTTGCCGTTGTTTTCTCTTTTAAAGAAAAGATTTGACAAAAAGGTACACTCTGAAGATGAAACTGTCGCAAGAAGCGTCGAATTTTTTAATCGGGGATCTCCATTTTTGTTGTCGCTCGGCTCGCGGGGATATTTTTGCGATATAATTAGAGGAAAGTCCCGTATTATGCGACAGCGGGGTTTCTACTAAATTAATAGACATCATCTATCGGGTCCACCATGAATTTATTGTCCTCGGAGTGAAATCTCTTGTTTAGTGGCAAATTCATTGTTGGATCGTGTAAGCGTTGCAAAAAAAGATTTTTAATTGAACTTGGGCGTTGAAAGCCTACAGTCACAATAGGAGATTTTCCTCAAACATCTTTTCTCAATTTTAATTTAATAATACAATCGTAGAACTGCATCTTTCGATCCAAGTCTCCACGAGAGTTTAATGTGTCAGAAGAGATTCGGCAAAAAGCTACGCTCTAAGGGCGAAATAACTGTTGCATTAAAAAGCGTCGAATTTTGAAATGGCTTCTCCGCCCCCCCCCCCCCGCGGTCGCTCGTTTCGCGAGCGACTCGGTGAACACGATGTTGCTACGTATCTTCCGTCGCGCGTGTCGCGGGGAGGAGGATTCTCTTCCGCCTCTGATCTCCGCGGGCCGATAATCGCGAGTGAAGAGGCGCTTAAGGAAAACGACGGAAGAAAGGCGCGGGGAGGTCTTTCCGACGTGGGTCTCCGAGGCGGCAACGGTGCTTCGAGCTTGCGAGCCTCGCGCAGTCGATGTCGGGCGGGAGAGAAACTGCTATGACAGTAGGGAACAGCGAAGCGGAATTTGGGGAATGGAGTCCGCCCGGAGCAGCCGGTCCGTGGAAGGGACCAATGTACCGTGAGAAAGCGAACCCAGTCGAAACGACGGAAATGCCGATGGTGATTCCGGGGCGAAACGACGGGGGCCGTTGCGGGGAAAACGCCCCGATCTATCGCGTACGACACGTTATATCTTTCTTACGCTCCGCGTTTGCAGTGTCATTTTTGAACTGACGCGAAAGAATAAAGACTCGCGCTGAAGTAACGCGCCAGTTTCCAAGATTGCAGAGTGGAGGGTCGTAATTGGAGGAAAAATGGCGGAATAATTGGCAATACCGTAATGACAAAGAACGCGGGGAAGCGATGTAGGGTATCGCGCGGTAATAACCGGTTCTTTGACGAATTAAAAGCTAATTTTCTCCTCGACTGGTAACGCCGAGGTACCAATTGCTCTCGCTCCGATGAAACGGCGAGGCGAGTTAGAGCCCCGCTCGCGTCCCCTTATTTTTCCCGAACGCGTTCGCGATCCGTCTCGATCGGTTTCCGAAATAACGGGTCCTATTTTAGTCCGCGCGCCCGCTCGCTCCGCGCGCGCGCGCGACATCCCGGAAGAGCGCCGCGCGGGAAAATTTAATAAATCCTCTCCGCGTCCCAATTCCATCCGGTGTCGCGGCACGACGTTGAGTTTCTGGCGTCTCGCGATCTCGCCTGCGACGCCCGCGTCCGCTCTCGACCCTCGTCCGCTAATAGCGACAAGTTACTTCTGACCCGTCAGCGGGACAGACCCTTGCGACGCCTCTATATTTAGACCGGGTCGAACCACCAGAACGGCGAGAAAACACAAAAGAAAGCGCACAAACGTCGCGCCGCGGCCGCGCCGCGCCGCGCCGCGCCGGGACGGAACAGAGACAAAGCGTAAGGGAGGGCCGTCTCGACGGAAGGCGATATCTCGACGTCGAAAGAAATCGGATTATGTCCTCCGTGGACCTCGCGACTTCTGGCTCGCAGCTGCGTCTCACGGAGACGATCGCAAAAACGCCGTCATACTCAAAGAGCCCGCTGCTGCATCTTCGCTGTCCTCTCGACGCTCAACAATAATGCAGGAGACAAAAAGTCCGCCGACTCTCCCCCGATCAGTCCGGGCTCGACTCCCCGGCGGCTCTGGAGCAACGAGAAGATGCCACGGTGCGAGCGTGGCGATCTTCAATAATTAAACGTCGAGAGTGCGAGCCGTAGACATAGCAAATATAGACTGAGCGTCCCATTGAACAAGCTGAAGCTTTTCAAGAGAGAGAGATTTAAGAAGACTTTCTTTCTCTGTCGTACACCACCGTGATTCTCCCTTGTCACGATGGTGAGACGGAGAAAGAAAGTCTTCTTAAATCTTCTCTCTCTCTCTCTCTCTCTCTCTCTCTTTCTCTCTCTCTCTCTCTCTCTGCAAGCTTCAGCTTATTCAATGGTCAGTCTATATTTACTATGTCTATGGTGCGAGCTGACGTAAAATTCTTAATTTCGCGTTTCAAGCCTCGAGCCGCTCGGCTTCCGCTCTAATTCGTGACTCGGTTGAAAAAAATCGAGGATGAAAGGGGCGGGGAGCAAAATATTAGTACTTTTATTGCAACGGGCATCGAACTGACCGAGAATTAATGGACGGGGGCCGGCGTTGTAGGACATCGCGGCCGCCCGTGCGGTTTATATTCGTTGTTTCGCATACGGGAATCGGCTGTGGTAAAGGCCGACGCTGTATATTACAGTCAGACAATATGCGGCAAGAAAAAGAACAGCGAATTTATGAACGCGAGCCGAACACGACGCAGAAGCGTATTTAACGATTCACGGGCCGTTTTTGTTCCTATTTCTGGAGTTTAATTTCTACGCGGGTCCTTCCTCGGTAAAAGGTCTCGGCGTGGAACGTGTACATGCTTGCGGGCGAAGTCTGATAATTTGCTAACTTATTAATACACTTTCGCTGCGTGCATTCTGCAAATTTATATACACAGCTTCCACAAGCGTTTTCAATCAAAGAAGCCGAGGGGAAAAAGAACGTAACGAAAATCCTGTTTTAATCAAACTCGTTACTTTTTTCATTACCTAAACAGCTCGGGACTTAGTCGTGTTCGGCCGTTCGTGAAATTAAGACCCATTCTTTTGATTTACCATACGGAATTATCGACGCAAAAGTAAGTTCCTCTCTTTTTACATTAAATAGATCTCTCGCGCTCTTTGTTCCTGCCGCGTGCAACACGACACTTTGCGTTAGCCTCCAATAACGTTATACGTATTAATACACTGACCAAAAACTGCTTTGTTAGATCACTTGAAAAGGACCACGAATCGAAACGTCGTGGGTTTAAACATAAGACTTTGCCAGACATGGTCGAGTAATATTCTGAAGTTTTTAAATAGCTATTTGTTCCTCTTTTTTCTATAAACAAACTCTCTTTCATTTTTGATACAAAGTCCTGCGTCAACTAGTTTCTGCTCGGTAAACATACATTTGCATGTCTATTTTGATGCTTCCACTGATGGCGTTTAATCGGAAATTGAGTCCTCCATTTTACCATTTAGTCAACCGTAACTGATAACAATCAAATAACGACGGGCGGCAGCTGCGAAAATTTAGCTTTGTGCGAGCGCGAGATAAAGTCGTCTTCAATATCTTGAGTTTCCTCGGCGATGAAAGAACGTTGTTCTCAATTAGTAATTTATCGCAGCGGAGAATACACTTGTTCGAAACTATCGACTGAAAAAAATTTATACAAAGGGATACCCGTCGGAAAGGGAACGAGCCCCGGTATCGGGCTCGGTTCCGCCCTGACGAAGTGAACCGAAATGCTCGCGAAACGTCGGAAATCGGATAAAAAATTTACGCGGCACCAACCCGGGCGCCGAACCTAATATCCATGTACGCCGCGAAAGTTTCGGATATCAGAATTTATCCCGCGACGAGTCTTCCTTCAGTTATGTAAAACTCGTGAAATCGATCTTCGGCGTAAGACCTTTTCCTTCCCGCGATTAAATGCGCGCGCCCATCGACGCTTTCCTCGCGTTCCAAACTTCGACCGCGCGCAAATGCTTTCTCAGAATGCAGCAGACCCGCAATAATCTTCACGCCGCTGCGGCGCGCGATTAGAGCTCGAGGTGTTAAAGGTTCTCCCCATCTCCGGTTAATAGGCATTTCTGACCTATCTCGCAACTTACCCGGCACCGCCGAGAGCAGCATCAAACAAACCGCCAAGCGGCTCATCTTCGCTGATGGTTCTGTTGTCTCGCGCAACACTACAGCTCGCTTCCCAATCCCGTATCGGCGATCAACCTTCCCGCCGTTCCATGCTTTGTCAGCCCGAGTTAGCGTCCGGAGGAAAGGAAGCCGGGGTCCCTTTTCCGGCCTCTAGATTACTATAGTTTCGCCTCGTCGCCCTAGTGATATCGTACGAGCCATTAGATAACGCAGCGACACGAGTCGTCGGGTAAAGAACGAAACGCTTATACGCGGATTTTTTCCGCGCGACGACGCACGTTTTCATATTTCTTTTTATAGCGACGTAAACGGATGGAAGAGAGTTGAATGTCCGCTCACACGCGCGTCTACGAAGTCTACTCTCCGAAGTAGTGAAGTAAGAAGTGACTGAAATTTAGCGTGTAAAATTTACTCGGGCGCGTCTGCGTTTCTCGACAAAAGTTACTTTAATAAGTAGAAGAATTTAGGTCTCTCCTTCGCAGTTTCTCCCCCCGCCGGGGGATAAAGCGACGCCCGACTATCCGTCACCGCGGAGGCCCGGGCTTTTACGAAACGCGGAGTGCACGGATCTGTACCCACCGTCGTGCCCAACGGGCTTATCTCGGGGGGGGGGGTGGCTTATCTCGCCTCTTGTCAAGGTATAGCGCAACGTCGAGAGTATCCACGCGCGGATGCTGTGACTGACGCCCGTCACGCTGCCACGCCACGAACACGGGACCAGTTCGAGGACCGAGTTAGACTGAACGGCAAGTCCGCGGTTCTCTCTTCGAGTTTCTCTCAGCCCTACCTAAGGTACGAGGCGTACTGGGTATGGTACACGGAGTGCGGCCCGCCCGCCTCCCTGTGTGTGGATAACGTTTTCTTCCGTCATTAGCCGTACACGTAAATACACGCAGCGCGCGCGCGCGCGCGTGTGGACACACGCACACACGCGTCAACGGATGATCAACGCGTGTATCCGCCGAAAGCGGGATGATCGTCGCAGCGAAAATGAAATGATCGGTGGAACGTTTCGGGCTTGATTCGTCGAAGCTTTATTAGGAGAGGAAATTGGGAAGTGTAATATTCCGTGAAGAGCGTCGTCTTCGGAAGCTTCGCAGAGCCGGAAAATTGTAATCGAGTCGACACGTATGTGTGTGTGCGTGGGCGTGTGAGGAGACGAGATTCTTATTCCTTGAAAAAATATAAGGACACATCCCCGAAAGGCATTAGCACGTTTCTGTTACTTTCAGGATGAAGCTTATTCTAAAAACTAAATTACTACACTGATCAAAAAATATTTTAATAAAAAAAATGTTACTTTACTCAAGAAAATTATTCATCAGGTGGCATCAGGTGCTTTAATTTAAGTATTTATTAAATATCAAGATAATTTTAAATTAAAAACTTTAATTCTATAAAGTGTTTACTAAGATGCAATTTTCACAGCGAAGAAAATTGAATTTCTTATTTAACAAAAACAATGATTTCATTTAATAAATAGTATTCTATATCTCATGAAATCTTTAGATGAATGTAGAAAATGTAATGATTTAAATTAACTAACGTAATCTAATACATAGATTTATTTGAAATTTGATATTTTTAATTAAATAAAATTAATATTTACTTCAGTAAAAAAAATAATTATAAGTAAATCTATTTACCTACTTAGTTTAAAAGAATTTTTTGTCAGTGTACACGTGCTATCTAATTTATCTGTTAAATTATTTTGTACGTTTACATTGATGTTTCTGTTGACTGAAATTATTTTGCATTATCATACGCGTAAATCATACGTTAATTCTTTTGTGCACAGCTACGAACGCACGCAAATGATTTGACACAAAATAAGTAGTGTAAACAAGTAAACGAATAACAAGCGACGAAGCAAGAAACACGTAAACAAAAGTGATATATTTTTTCGCTGTCTTCCAACTTGTGATTTTTCGCGAGCGATAGTTATCATACAACTATTTTTCCAAAATACTGAATAGAATGGGAGCGATAGAAAAATATGTTACAGGTAAAATTACGTGTTTTCGCCGTGGGATGGTTATTGAATTCCGCGATGAAAAAAAATACTTTCGCATCTCGCTGACGTGCGAAAATTTTAATTTACTACTCGCTGCATCCGAACACGTTGCACGCCGTAAATAATTGCGGAGCGCGCAACAACAGCGCTGCTAACAATTACACGACCGCTTTTGTTTCGACCATCGGAAATAAGACGAGATCTGTAACGATAACGGACCTTTCGAACGTAATACTTATTCTCATTTCCCATTGAACGGCTTTTGTGTAACATTATTGAGTGGTTTTCGTACGCTTGAAATCACCGTCTTAAATGTTTATTTATGAAGAGAGTTTTTTTCTGCTATAAGCAAAAATATGAAGCTTACGGTTTTTTTCTGTATAGGCTTTTTAAATATTGAATTTATATATTATTGAATATTTCATATAACTTGTAATATTATAACAGAAAAATGGTCTGACGTAAGAGAAATTATCGTCTTTCTATGTGCAAAAGCAAATTCCTTTTAGTACAAGTAAAATGTATTTGGAAAATTGATATAATAATAGAATTCATTTCAATAACTGACTTTTATATTTAGCTTTTATTATTAAGCAGTTTTTATGCGAACAAAACTACCTCTTCTCATCTATTTTTCAATAGAAGTTTGAATAAAAATTCTACTATATAAAATACTCTTAAAAATTAAACTGTTAATTTTTCTCTACGAACGGTTTAGAATGTCACGTAATTATTGAAATTGTAATTTTATGAAAAAGAAATTGTTTTTTACCTATCGAAAATTTCTTCTGTTAAAATTGCAAGTTATATATATTTTTTTAAATAAAATTTACATCTTCGGAAAAAATACAGTCAGAATTTGCGTTGTGTTGGTGCAATTTACCATATATTGTGTAAAAATCAGATAAAAATATATAATTTTTTGTAAAGTTATATAGCTTTTTAATTTTCCAAGTCTCAGATATGAATTAATTTAAAAATAAATTTATATTTATGCCTATCAGAAAGAAGTAGTCACGAAAAGACCTAGTGGCGCCATCAGTTGGAAATGAAGAATAGTTTTCATCAAAAGTTTATCAACACAAACGTTACCTTCATGCGATTCTATAGTCCCATCTTAATTTAAATATACATTTTTCTATTTTAAATACATTGTGTAGATTAAAACATTGATAGGATAGAGCGGAGCAGAAAGGTACGCGGGTAAAAAGGTCCATCGTATGTAAATTGGAAACTAATAATCCGTTAATCTAACACCTTCTGGAACAAGAACACTAAGAATCTTATTTCAAGAGTGCGATTAGTCATCAGTTTTTCATTTAGTACCGAAATACAGTGGCTATCGATTGTATCTTTCAACAATGTATGCGTTAAGTTTTATATTTATACTTATATGTTGGCTAGGACAGTATCTTTCCTCTGAAATCCAGTTTGATTGGTGCGGCAATTTTAACAAGTCAAAAGATAATTGTAAGTTTAAAATCCTACACCTTTTCATTTCAGTATAAAGAATATATATAATCGACCATTTACTATAATAAAAGCAAGATAGAAATGTTATACTGCTACTTACAATTGGTAACTACGATCATCTTTTATTTATATGTATTGAAATATTAAAAATGTTTTAAAAAATATGCAACGCTCGTAGAAAAAATATATTAATAAAAACATACTAAAAATATTGGATATTGAACGACTGTTTCAATTTATACAAATATTAATACGCAAATTTGACAAAGTTTAGTTAATTGAGATACCTGTATTATTTTCTTATTCAAGGAGATGAAAGCATAGGGATAATAATACGGTTTAACAGGTGTGACATTTATAGTATGCAAAATTAACTCCTTTATTCGTTAAAATTCTGTACGCAAAGCTCCGTGTGCGAATTAATAAAATTAAATACTCATGTAACAGAATTTATTGTAAGACTAATTTAAATAATTTAACGCGATGCAGAAATCACAATTGTGGAATCAGACATCTCCGCCTCTACGTCGAAGTAAGGTGAAGTTTAGATTCCTTCTGGATATGGCTAGGATATGGTAGTCGAACAAGGTGCGTCCGTCCTCGAGTTGCTTGCCCGCGAATATCAGTCTTTGCTGATTGGGAGGAATGCCCTCTTTGTCTTGAATTTTAGCCTTCACGTTCTCGATCGTGTCCGAAGCCTCGACCTCCAGCGTGATCGTTTTGTGTCCAGCGTTACCGGTGCGA